TCTCTCTCTCTCTCTCTCTCTCTCTCTCTCTCTCTCTCTCTCTCTACTCCTGTTCCAATTACTGGCGACCCGCCTGCGGACGCTTCCACCGTCTTTACCACGCTCTCTCTCCCCTCGAGGCTCGTTGGCAACCCTCTCGTCTCGAGATGGTGGCCGCGATGACCGGCCACGCTCCTTGCGCGTCTTCCCACCCATCTACGCTACTCGTCTCCGTCCCTGAACTCGAAAGCCAGCTCGCCTCTCTCTTCACTTGTTGATTCCCAAACGGCGCACAGGGTACTACAGACAGGCAGAGACACGGGGCAGACGAAAGGGAAGGTGTGTGGGCCAACGAATAGTGTAGACCGACGTGGGAGCAACTCGATCGGGACTACGGCTTTGATCTTGGCCAGCCTTGTCGTCCTCTCCGACCCCCGCCGAAGCGGCCCCTCGGCCCTCCTGTACGCGCCGACGCCAAACGAGGGCCGCCCCACCTTTTCAGATGTAAATAAAGCGGCCCCGGTTGTCGTCGATGCGAGGAGCGGTGGGCAGAGGGGGATGGAAGTGTAGGTCGAAGAGGGCGACGTCATCCTATTGTCATTGGGATGGAGGCGTCGATGTTGGCAAAACATTTTGACCCCTGTAATACCTATGGGGATCAGAGGTAGCGGGGCTTCGGATGTGCCGTTGTGCGGAGGGGGGATGAGGAATGAGGGACGAGGGACGAGGGACGAGGGGAGGGGATGGGGAAGAGGGGGAGAGACGGACGATACACGTCGATGGCGAGAGGTCGGTTGGACAGGCAGATGGAGCAATACGACGGCTGTTATTGCATGGCGGAAAGCAGGAGATGTCGATACGGAACGGAGTCGGAGTGGCGGATGGTGGTGGTGGTGGTGGCAGCAACGCTGGGGGGTGAAGGAGGCTCCTGTCTGCTTAAATCCTCCTTCCAACTCGACGCCTTGGAGCTGGGGGCCCGAAGGCTGGCTTTTTTTCTCGACAGGCTCAAAGGCAGCCCGCCCTTTCTGCTGCGGTTGAGCGGGAGGGAGAGAGCATGGCGGACCTCGGAGCCGATACACCCCACTACTCCACTCTGGAGCACCGACGCGCCGCCTTTGCCTGGCCTGGCCTGGCCTGACCACCACCTCCCTCTGCCCCTCCCCGCCTGGCTGCTGCGCTGCTACTTTGCCCCTCGCCCAGCACCACCTCCTCACCCACCAACGACCGACCGGCCGTCCGCCATCATGCCATCAGCCACCGCATCATCATCCGCACAGCATCCGCGCGGCGCGGACCAAGCGTCGGCAGGCGCATCCGCCACGGGCTTTCGCGGTCCCGTCCCGCGCGACGCCCGCCTCATGGCCCTCATCCTGGCCAGCATGGGCGTCTCGAACGCAGAGCCAGAGGTGCTCCTCCAGCTCCTCGAGTTCGCCCACCGCTACACCTACGACGTCCTCAGCGATGCCCTCGTCTATGCCGACCACGCATCGACGCGTCAGGGTACCTCGTCGGTCTCGCTCGACGACGTCACCCTCGCCATCCAGAGCAGGGTAAACTATAGCTTCACAACACCGCCCGAAAAAGACGTGAGTGCCCGCCCGCAGTCCGGCACCGCTTGCGGGGCCATTCCTCTACCGTCGCCACCTCGCCCGTCTTGTGCCTGACTCCCTGCGCTCCACGCCTGGAACACTTCCCCTTCCCCTTCCCTTCTGCCCGTCTCCGCACACAGACGCTCCTGGCACTAGCCACCTCCCTCAACTCGGTCCCGCTACCCCCCATCTCGGATCGCCACGGCGTGCGTCTACCACCGCAGCAACACTGCCTCACCAACGTCAACTTTACCATCATCCCCAACCCGCCTCCGCCAGACTACGACGAGGCCGAAGATGACACCGACGGCAACGATGCCCAGCAGCAATCCGCATCGGAACCTTCAGCGAGCACCGCCGCTGCTGCTACCGCTGCAACTGCCAATGGCAACGCGACGGCGGCGGCGGCACCGAGCCGTATGCTGGTGGGCGACGATGACGACTACGATGACGACGACGGGGATGCGGCACTGCCACCACAGGCGGCGTCGACGGCTGCAGGGCCTGGCACCGCTGTGGGCGCTCCACGAGAGGCAGGACAGGCCGCCGAAGGTGACGGCGACGTCAGCATGTCGACCGATGCAGCCGCCTCGCAGCCACCACCACCACCACCACAACAACAACAGACACAAGCCCCCTCAGCCGAACAGCGTGGCGTAAAACGTAGCCTCGACGAGGACGAGGATTACGATTGAGCGCAAGCGGCACCTCATACCTGCTCCCCACCGGTCCCTCGAGCCACGGATACCCGCCATTGCTGGCTCCCTCGCCCCCTCTGCTTCCTCAAGGCCATTCTCGTCTTGCCACGCGTGTGGCTGCACGGCGTCCCATCTCTCTCTCGCAAGGCACCCTTCGCGTCTTTCACAGTCGCTCTCTCCTCTCACGGCGATTCCAACACGCTGCAGCTGCACTCGACAAGTCCGTCGACGCACTGTCCTCACCAACCTACGACGCGCTCGGCCCCCCGGCCTGGCTCTCGACCTCATGGCCCGTTGCCGTCCTCTGTCTGGGCTACCCGGATCCATGGTAGCTCAAACGGCACTCCCGACACTCGGCTCCTCACGAATCGGCCACTGCCATCGTATTCCCCCGCGGGACGACTCACGGCAGTCTCACGCCGGCAATCCAGCCGCCAGGAACAAAGCCGGCGCGCTTCTGAACAGGGGTCACTCAAAGATTACGACGGGGGACGGTGACATTGGCGCGGGAGATCGAGTCCCGCTTCGAAACGTGGCGGAAGAGAGAGGGGAGAAGACATGCGTAGGCGAGAGGATACTAACAGACGGTGGCAGTAGAGAGGGGATCAGGGACGAGGAAAGGACGCGGACGGCCAATGCTAGGAAGACGGGAGGCGAAGAAATACAGAAATGTGGCGAGAAGGTGGGCCATGGAGTCATGCTGGAATATAGAGAGACGGGGAGAGAGAGAGAGAGAGAGAGAGAGAGAGAGAGAGAGATGCGCGGCCGAATCAAAGAGCCAGACAACGCCGGCGACCTTAGGCGGGCCGACGTGAGACTGGCAGCAAGGCCATCTCAGCAGACCGGGGTGAAGCTCTGGCCGGCGGCGCCACCGACGCCGCCCCAGAAGCTCGACTGCGGTCCAACGTCCTTCTTGGTGTTGGGCTGGGCGATGAGCGAGGGCGACGACCGGCGCAGCAGCGAGGGTCGTGGCGACGACGCACGGGGCGATCCAGGCACGCAGTTAGCGGCGGCGCCGGCGCTGGCGCTGCCGAACGAGGCGATGCTGGTGGGCGTCGAGGGACGCGAGCCGTCTGCGAAGCTGAAAAAGGCGCTCGGCGTCAGCGGCGTGCCGGAGCCAGCGTTGGTGGCGCTGTCGAACCCGGCCTGAGCGGCTGGCTGCTGCGGCGGCGCCACGGTCAAGGTGCTGTTGCCGGGCGAGAGGTTCTTCTGCAGCGCCTCGAGAATCTTGCCGACGTCGTTCTGCGAAATGGTCCTCGCCTTGAGCGTGCGGACCTCTTCCTGCAGCGACGCCTTTTCCATCGTCACCTGCGAAAGCTGCTGGCGCAGGCCTTCGATGATGGAATCACGGTCGGCCACCTGTTCCTCGAGGTGAGTGATGTACTCCTTCCTGCGGGTGCGGAAGTTGCGCGCCGAGATCTTGTTGCGCAGCTGCCGCTTTTCCTTGCTGCTCAGCTTCTTGTACTCCTCGGGGTCCGGCTTGGCGTCGTTGGGGAACGCAGCGACCCTGGACATGGCCGAGGGCGTGCTGCCAGAGCCGGTGGCCGGCGTCGAGTCGCGGCTGTCGCCTGCGTTGGAACCGCTGGCCTGGGATCCGTAGAAGCCGAGCTGTTGTTGCTGCTTGTGGTGCTCAAGCAGACCGGCAAGCTTCTCTTTGCTGTCCTCTTCCTCGAGATCCGACAGGCCGTCTTCAGACATGGCGCTGACATCGCACTGCGGCGCGGCCGCAACGGGAGCGCCCTTGCTGGTGCTGCCAAGAAGCTCCAGCGACGAGGCGGTGTCCATCTGCATCATGTGCGGGTCAATCGAGAACGGCTCGTCGGCTTCTCGGTTGAAGGCCGAAGCGCGGAACGCACGGCTGCCGAGATCCGAGCCGTCGACAAAGCCAAACGAGTCCAGGGCTGCGCCATCGAACGTCGCTTCGCTCTGCTTGAAGCCCTTGGTGAAGTCGAGCTCCTCGATCTCGTCGACCGCGGCGAGCGCGGGCGGCGTGGACAGCGGCGAGAAGCTCTTGGCCGAAGCCGAGGGGGAGTCGGGCGCCTGAAGTTCCGGTGGCGAATCGGCCCGGTCTCGAGCGACAGGGGCAGGCTGGCTTGAGGGGCCCGCCTCGGGGGCGGAACGAGGGGTAACAGCCGGTGTGGGGACCGCGGGCGACTTCCGAGGCACGGGAAGGCGCTGCAGAGCGATGGGCTCAGGCGCCGACGACGACGAGGAAGGCTTGACCGAGATCGCCCGAGGGGTGGGTGCGGGTTTGGGGACTGCGTTGGAGGTGGACGCCGACGCAGTGGCGGGCTGCTTGTTCTTGAAGAGACTGTCAAAATGGTTCTTGACGTAGCGATCGAGCAGGGCCTCGTCGGGGCGAGTGCCCGCCTTTCTCAGCTCGGCGGCAAGGTAATAGCGCTGCGAGGGATTGTGTGAAGGACAGATAAGGCGCCAGTCACGAGGACGGTCAGCACGGGGTTGCGCCTCACCCGCATTGATCCATGTAGCAGTGGCGGCCTTTTGCCGTCGAAAGGCAGGACAGACTTACGAAGAGGGCTTCGGGAGACGAGCCAGGAGGCGGCGGAGGCTGGTTCTCGTCGAGTCCGACCGTGCGCATGTTGATCGCGGGCGTGGAAGCGGACGCAGAGGCGGCGCCGGTGTTGGCAGCGGCGGTAGAGCTGGACGGACCCCCGTTGGTGGCGTTGGCCGCCATCTGGGCGGGCTTGGTCGGCTGCAGGCGGGGAGTGAGGGCGGGCGAGGAGGGGAGGTTGACAAACTCGTCGAACCCGTTGAAGCTGTTGTTGCGAGCAACCTGAGTGGCCGCCATGGTGAGACTAGCTGACGATGGATTCTCTCCAGTGGGTTATGGACGGGCCAGAGCGAAGCGGGTGGGCAGGCTTGTTGGCTGAGCGCGGCCGAATTCAGTCTAGCCGGTGGCGAGGTGGAGGGCGTAGGGATGCCGTCAGGTGCGGTGTGGAGGCTCAGCTGGTCGAAGTGGTAACGACGGGCAAGCTGGCCAGCAGGAGGTGTGCGAGAGATGGACCGGAGGGGTGATGGGGCGATATCGTAGGTGGTGGCGGTAGTGGCGGTGATGGTGGTGAACGGAACAGAAGCGATGATATGACTGCGCCCCTTTCTGCTTGAAAGGCCAGACTTGGGCCCGCCCGCATACGACAAGCCTGCTTGGTCTGTTGGGCAGGCGGCGGTGGGTGACTGTGCTGGGGCGCGCGCGCCCGGCTCGAGGCCCGGGCCAGGCTGCTTTTTTTCGGGGAGGGGTGGCATGCAGCTGTGATCTTAGCTTTGAAGGGGTGCTCTGACAAAGACGGGCGCAGGAGCCGCACCGCACCGCTTCCGCTTCCGCTCGTTTTCGGCATGCCCGAGGGGACGCCAGCTGGCCCAAGCTTCGCTCCACCTCAGCCACCTCGCCGCAATCACATCCAATCTGTCGAAATGGCACAAATTGCACCTCGCTGGCGTGCTCTTCGACGGCGCCCGCTTCCAACGCCTCACACGGCTGCGTTCATGTGATGATCCGCTTTCAGGGGGCGTGACATGCTAGTGGCCAGCTGCGGTCGGAGGCAGCGGTGTTACGAGGAGCACAAGGGGCTGGCCAGGATTCCAGCGGAGACCAAGCCACCAAGCCGGCGATACGAGCGCAGGTCCCACCGATGTGACAGCGCCGAACACTCTGGCGGTCCGGGCCGAGTCCGAGCAAGCAAAGCAACTCGCTGCATCTTCGGGACGCGGAACACGGCTCGTCCGCGCCGTCGAAGGTGGCAGAAGCTGTTTCGGCTCGCTTCCACGGCAGCGCGTCGGCCCGAAATCCGAGGACGACGCCACGTAAGGACGGACGTGGCATCGGCGACCATGACGGCCCCTATTCGGTGACGGGAGCCACGGCGGACGAGGCTAGGCTAGGTGCACATGCATGGCACAGAGAGAGCTCGGGCCGCTCCCGCTCTTTCAACAGCCCGGGGCTCTCCGGCTGCCGCGCGCTTCCGACGTCGCAGGTCGTGGGCCGCGGAAGCAAGTCCACGAGATAGATACACCTCTTTCTCTCCGCAACGCGCTCCCTGCGCACACGAGTGCTCGTCACGCCGAAGGATGGTCATGGCTGGCAAGGAGCGGCGGGCTAACTAGCTGGCGGGCTGGTCCGCTGATTGGTCGTCTCTAGATGCCGCTCACGGCGCTGGAGCAGAAACGCCGCCGCGCGGAGGCTTCCGCGGTGCTGAGCAAGAGCACGCGCGGCGCGATATCTTCGACTTCGACGGTCGCCGCATCTTCTCGGCATTCCCGACAGCTGCGGGCTCCCGCCCCATGTGCGAGGTTCAAGCTACGCTCTAGCAATAGATGTTGCGTCCGTCCGTGCTGCAGGCCGTGTCGTCGACGCGGATCCACACCGTGCCGGTCTTCATCGAGCCCAGATGAGTGTAGACCTGGCCCGCGCCAAAGACGTAAATGCACGTGTAGCCAGACCACGAAGGCAAGTCCACCTTCTTGCGCGGGATCTCGAGCTTGAACGGCTGGTTGTCGCAGACCACGGCCTGATTGTCAGGGTCTGTGCGCTGGTCGACTAGCTCATCGACATGCTTGACGAGCGCCTGCGGATCGGCCGTCGGCTGACGGTCCGAGTAAAGATGGGTAGGATGAAGCGAACAGCGGGAAGGGGTCAGTGCCACGACGTCGAAGAGTGCCTAGTTCGCCCGGGAGGAAAAGACTTACGCCATCCGCATAGGTGGTGGCGGGCAGAGCGTCGACGCTGACGGCGACAGAAGAGGCTAGGACGGCGACGACGACGACGGCAAGCCAGCTCTTCATGGTGGGATTCATGAGCTTGCAAAGGCTGAAGGAGGAAGGAGAGTGAATCGAGGCTCGTTTGGATGTCGAGGCGCCTTGCAGAGTCAGAGAACATGATGGCCTTATACCTGCCAAGTCCGGGCATCTCACGTTGAGAGAAGGTACTGGCGATGCGTGGTTCCTCGAAGCAGTGTGACCCTCGTCCCCTTGGCCAAGCTAGTCGTGCCCCTGATGCTCCGCTGAACTTTGGTTCCGGGATGCCGCATTCGACCACGCCGTCGAGCGCCGATCTTCACTCATGAGGTGGGCCCATATCGATGACCTTTGTCATTCGGTCGACGCTCGGGCCAACAGGATGTGGGCTTTCCGACCTGGCCCCGACTAGAGAACCGGTGGATGGCGATATGTATGTACCTCGGCGGTCCGGCGCCGCTTCGAGATCGAATGTGAACCGCAGCGTCACGGTCGAGCGGCGCCTATGCAGCTGCGGCGGATATGAAGCAGATTGATGGAGGAACAGGCGCAGCGAGCACCTGCGATCCTGGCGTCGGTGTGGCGACGGGGCGACATCGTTGGTGGGCGGGAGGGTGGCCTTGCCAGCTGCCGCAGTTGGGTCAGGCGGTCTGCCGGCTGTTGCCGCTGAGGCCACCCAATCAGCCCGCGCGCGTCGATTGCCTGGATCGGGATCGGGGGACGGCGGCCTGGCCTGGCTTGGCTGGCGCTGAACGCGAAAAAAACCGACGACGCCCGTCGCTCGGCCGCCGTCCGTCCTGGCTTGTCCTGCCAACCCGGCTCAGCCGTCTTGCGCCACCTTGCTAGCGTACCATCACCATCCATCCGCCCCTCTCCTTAGTCTCCTCCCTCAGTCGAATTCATCACCGTCATTTCTCTCCTTTGACGCTCTGCTGGCCTCGTCCGTCGACCTTTCACCTAACCTTTTTCCTCAACGCCGCCGCTTGGCATCGGTTCGCAGCGAGGACTGACGACTGACCCGCTCGGCCTCTGAACGTCTGGACCCGCCACTCACACTGACGTACCTCAAAAGCCCATCCCACGCTCCGACCCTCTGTTCGGCTGACCTGGGCACTGACGGAACTCCGGACTCGATACCTTTACGACCTCTTCGGCCCCCTCTAACACCTCGCCTCGCCGCTCGCTTGCCTCTGACTTTTGAGCTCTCGAGAGGACTAACCACCGGATCCGCTTCGCCCTCGCGAGCCCATACACCGACACTACGCAGCACAAAGGCTGTTGACCCTCTCCTGACCCACCTGACCACACACCACCAGCATGTCTTGGAGGAGCAACGCCCAACGGACGGGCATGAACGCCCAGCCGCTCGGCAATGCGCGCCGCTGGGGTGGCGGCGGAGGCGCTGCCAGCCCAAGCCAAGAGCCTGCCGCAGCCGCAGGTGGCGGCTACGGCATGAGTCCGCCGCGCCCGAATCCGATGGGCATGGGCGGGCCAAACATGGGCATGGGCGGACCGAATATGGGCATGGGCGGACCAAACATGGGCATGGGCCCTCCTGGCATGGGTGGTCCGGGCCCGGGCGCACCGGGAAGGGACCCGAGGGAAGCTGCTGCCGCCGCCGCCGCCGCAGTTGCTGCTAGCATCGGCATCAAGAGGGACCGGGACGACAATGGCGCCGCAGCCTCGCCCGTTGGCGCCGACGGAGCGCCCCGCAAACGACGCTCGCGCTGGGGTGACGCCGCTGACCAGGTCAACATCCCGACGGCCATCGGCGCCAACGTGTCGCAGCAGGAGCTTGATCGGTACGCCATCCAGGTCCGCCTCGACGAGATCTCGCGCAAGCTGCGCTCGGGCGACTATGTGCCGCCGGACCGCGAGCGTTCGCCGTCGCCGCCGCCCACCTACGACAACCAGGGACGCAGGACCAACACGCGCGAGGTGCGCTACCGCAAGAGGCTCGAGGACGAGCGCATGGCCCTCGTCGAGCGGCAGATGCAGCTTGACCCCAACTTCCGCCCGCCTGCAGAGTACCACGCCGCCAAGCGCAACACGCGGCCCACCGAAAAGGTCTTCCTGCCGCTCAAGGAGTTCCCTGAGATCAACTTCTTTGGCCTGCTGGTGGGCCCGCGCGGCAACACGCTCAAGAAGATGGAGCGCGAGAGCGGCGCCAAGATCTCGATCCGTGGCAAGGGCTCGGTCAAGGAGGGCAAGGGCCGTGCTGGCGCCGACGAAGACGAGGAGGACATGCACTGCGTTGTCCAGGCCGACGACGAGGCCGCGGTCAAGAAGTGCATCCGCCTCATCAACCAGGTCATCGAGACGGCCGCCTCGACGCCCGAGGGCGAAAACGACCACAAGCGCAACCAGCTGCGCGAGCTGGCCGCGCTCAACGGCACGCTCCGCGACGACGAGAACCAGATCTGCAAGAACTGCGGCAACAAGGGCCACCGCGCCTTCGAGTGCCCCGAGCAGCGCAACTGGACCGCCCACATCATCTGCCACCGCTGCGGCGGTCAGGGCCATCTCGCGCGCGACTGCACCCAGGGGCGTGGCGGCGCCTTTGGTGGACCGCCCGGCATGCCCGGAGCTCCCGGCGGCGGCGCTGGCCCCAGGCCCTGGTGGCGTTGGCGGCGCTCGCCAGTTTGACTCCGAGTACGCCAGCCTGATGGCAGAGCTCGGCGAAGGCGGAGGAGCGGCGGCCGGACCGGCGGGCGCTGCTGGACCCGTCGTGGGTGCTCCTGGTGCGCCAGGCGGGCCGGTGGGCCAAAAGGTCCCGCCCTGGCGCGACCCGAATGTGTGGAACAGCCCTGGCTTCGGCGGCCCGCGCGGGGGCGGCGGCAGGTTCG